ACTAAACATTATAGTAAAAAAATGATGTTACTCTAAATAAAAGATTGTTAGGAGTGTAAGGGCCTGTGTCAATGGGTTTTGGGCTTATTTTAAAGTCTAAGAGTACAAAAAAAAAGGAAACAAAATGAATGGGGTAGTTGGACAAAAAGGGCAGACATCATCAGTCACTCTTAAAGCAGTAGCAAAGTCTGAGGAAAGAAAAAACTTCCCCTTGCAAGTTAGGAGCACCACATACTAGCCCATTATGGAAGACTTACCTTAACCACTTGCCTACAGGGCACTTATACCCCCATGCTGCCAAGGCCGATTTTCAGCTTTCAGTGCTGTCGCACTTTGAATGACAATTGTACGGTCATGCAACACTGTACGCATATGAATTTTTATCATTTTTTCATACAAATAGAGCTTTCTTTTGGTGGTATTTAATCGCCACTGGGTGTTTTATTTTCTTGCGACATAAACAAAAAAAGAGCAAAAAGTTTGAAAAAAAAAAGGTTTTCTTTGTTTCTATTACAAAATTTTGCAAACCGATAATTTTTTCTTCTTCACTGATGTGCATTGATGAGGCTGCACTGATAGGCAGCACTGATGGGCATTGATAGGCATCACTAATGGGCACTGATGAGGTGGCATGGATAGGCAGCACTGATAGGAGGCATTGATGAGCTGGCACTGATGATGCTGCACTGATAGGCACTGATGGATGGTACTGTTGGGCAGTACTGATGGGTGGCACTGCTGGACACAGGTGGGTGGCACTGTAGAGCACAGGTGGGTGGCACTGCAGGGCACAGGTGGGTGGCACTGATGGGCACAGTTGGGTGGCACTGCTGGGTGGCACTTCAGGGCACAGGTGGGTGGCACTTCAAGGCAGAGGTGGGTGTCACTGCATGGCACAGATGGTTGGCACTGCTGGGCACAGGTGGGTGGCACTACTGGACACTGATCATCAGGGCACTGATCATCAGTGCCCTGATGATTGGTGCCGATCACTTCTCTGACAATTGCCAGTTATCGGCAGTACTTTCCTCACACTATGACAGCGTGAGGAAAGTGCAGCCAATAACCGGCAACTGTATTTACCCGGTGATCTACTGTATCATTGGACACAGCTGATCACGTGCTAAAAGGCCGTGGCGCTTCTGTCCACAATTCATAAAGCTGATATGTGAACAGAGTCTAACTCTGAACTGATCCCTATGATATTTTTATCTTTTTTCTTTTTTTTTATTTACAAAATGTATTAACAACGGACAAATGTTCTAGCAATTCCTACCTAATTTAATCCTAAGTAAAAAAAACACTTTCTAGCTTTGGCACAATTTGGATCTTTGGATGTCTAGGTGACCATGCAGTAAGTGAGCCAAAAAAATCGATTGATTTGGGTCAAAGACAACAAAAAACCCAGATAGACATAAACCCTCCCCTACTCTTAAAAAAACTAAACACATTTTCTGGAGCTTCAAAATGCACAAGGTAACAATTTTGTGTAGACTGTGCAGATGACAAGCTCTGAAAAGGACACCTTTTCTGTTGCCTAAAGGTTTCATTGAAAAAGTTGCACATAATACAGTTTAAAAAGCTACCATAATGATGTGAACATCAAAAAATGAAACAAACATGGAGTGTGCATACAGATACATGGCAACTGAGGGCAGCACAGTGGTTAAGTGGTTAGCACTTTCACCTAGCAGCATTAGAGTTGTTGGTTCGAATCTAAACCACAGCACTATCTGTATGGAGTTTGCATGTTCTCCCTGTGCCTCTGTGGGCTTCCTCCCACACTCCAAAGACATGAATATGAGTTAGGGACCTTAGATTGTAAGCTCCTTGAGGGCAAGGGCTGATGTGAATGTACAATATATATACAGTAAATGAAAAGCGCTGCATACATTGATATATAAGTACCTATAATAAATAAAATAGCATGTCAAAGGACATATCTAGGGCAAGAATTCCAGCTTAGTAAACAGTACACTAGAGGTTACATGTAAACTAGAGTGCAGTTGGCTTAGGAAGAAGAGCAGAACTCCAGGGCTGCTGTTAGAAACCACAGAGCCCCACTCAGCCAACCTAACAGGGCCCCCTTCCCAAACAAAAAAACACAGTTTACTATGCTTCAGTTGTGAATGAACTTAATGAGCGATGGGTGCTGCTCACTCATTGTGTTCATTCAGGATGGGGCTGGTAAATGTGAAATATTTACTGGACCCTTCCTCCATTCTCCATCCTGAAGGATCCTATTGCAGCTTGAAGTGTATTGCAGTGCTGTTGGGAAGAAGTAGATAAAAGCAAGCAGCATTGCAAGGGTGAGGGGCCTAGGCAGCAGGGGAAAATGTAATGTGCACAGGGAGGGTGATGGTTGTAATGGTTGTAGCGGCGGGGCGGGGGGGAAGACAATTAGTTGAACCGATCCCCTGTATGGCTCTCTCTACTGCAGCTGAAAGCCAGCGGGAGAGAAGAAGAATCCGGCTGTAAGCTGGCTGTCATTTCAGCCCGCTGTGCCGATCACCCTCCCTGCCCACATTCTATTCACCCAGCTGCCTGAGCCCCCCTGCTGGCCTGGGCCTCATACAGGAGGACTGGCGGTACCCCCTTATCCACGGCCCTGCAGAACCCCACAGTGTTTGTCATGCCCACTGTCAGCAGCAGCTCCCATCTAGATGTGCTTCAAACAACATGAGTCTAAAGTAGCAGAAGGAAAGGAATAAAGACCAAGGAAAGGGGAAGTGAAGAGAAAAAATAAAGGACACCGTTTATTGTGCTTGAAAAGTCAAATAGCCGCTTATCCAGGGGGTGTATTTACCACAAGGCAAACAAGGCGTTTGCCTAGGGTGGCATTTTTCAGGGGGGGGGGCAGCACTGTCCCTTGGAAGAAGGGACAGAAGAAGGGACACACCCAGCATGGGGACCTGGTGGGTTCCGAGAGAGGCTGCGGGTTTCACAACGGTGTATGCACAGCCCGACTCTCGTTCCTGAGGATGTCCGGAGCTGTTAAGGTGAGTATCTCTCTCTTGCTATGGGACATGGTGGCTGGTGTTGGAGGGCAGTGGTAGTGGAAGGCTCTCTATGGTGGGGGGCAGGGGTGTTGTTTTGGTCGGGTGTCAGGCTCTCTCTCCGGTGGGGGGGCGCCGATTTATGTGTTGCCTAGGGCAGCACAAAACCTAAATACATTACTGCGCTTATCAACCACAAATATAAAGTATCTGTGAGCTTGGAAAAGAAATCTAGCACTTTGCTATGATGACATATTCTCTGGAATTTTTTAAGAGCATAATGGGTATAGGTAGATGTAATTTGCCCAAACTGTGTTAGATGGTACTTAAGTATTTTTAGCATCGATATGGTGGGAATGATGTCGTGAAACATTAGTGCGAAAAAGTGTTCCTCTTTCTTTTAGAAATTTGGGAGGTATGACAGAGCTAAAATATGCCTCCATGAAATCACTTCTTTTCTGAAACTGCGTAAGGTTAGCCCTATAAGAAAGTTTTTACTGCATGTCTAACCATATCCACCTGACATTTTCGGGTCTAATTAGGCTCCTCACACTAAATATTTACATAAAGCACATAGTAAATAGAGAACTGTTTCCTACATTTTCCAAGCTAAGCATAAGGTTGGGTAACATAGTATTCATTGATAGGAGAAGGGTTAATAAAGTTGCAATATGACCAGAGGCAAGGAAAGATTTGAATAACATAATATTGCTACTAGCAGAAATGTGCTAATGATTCCCATTGCTTCACCAGCAGCGAAAAGTTTTATTAGTTCTCTAATGGTCTCTCACAGCAAGCAATATGTACCTGTCTGCGGTGTCAGGTTTCCTCTCTTGCTCCAGAATGTTTACTACCCCAAAAGGCCCTCATTAATGCTGGGGAGAAAATGGCATATGCATTCTGGGAAAAAGATTACACACTGCCCTCTAGAGGACCACACAAAAATTGAGATCAGGAATTTCCTCCACGCTGACACATGCACTCTACTTTTTATGGGAGCGTGGAGCGTGGAAAATAATTGCACGCTTACAGCTGTATCGGTCATTCTTTGATGGAAAGCAAACATTCAGATCACACAAGATAAATATGATTTATGGTCTTAAAATAAAGCTTTTGCTGCTAGAAACATCAAACATTGAAGCACTGCAAATGAAAAAAATAAAAAAACATAGTTTAAATCAACCTTGCTGTAGTTTACAGTTATAAAAAAAAAAAAACTCTTAGAAAATGGTCAGAGTCATTTATGAAAGCTAAATAAGGTCAAGGTAGAGAAGTACAAAAAAATGAGTGTTTGTTTGAAAGCTTTTGAATAAAGAATAATGTGTTGATTTTAGCAATGATACATTTTTTTTTATGCTTTTACCGTGTAGTGGAATATATGCAAATTGGCAACATTACCTGCTACCTTTGTACTATTTCTATTATGTTCTGCATTCCATTCAGGCGGGAGATTAAAATAATGAGACAATAGTAATATACAAGAACAGGATTAATATTGTATTTTGTAATTTATCAAAAGAAGCGGAGAAATAGTTATACAATTAACCACTTTAAGACCAGGCCTTTTCTGACACATTTTGTTTACATGCAAAAATCTGTATTTTTTGCTAGAAAATTTCTTAGAACCTGCAAACATTATGTATATTTTTTTTAAAGTGGAGGCCCTAGAGATTAAATTATTTGCACAGCGGTTTTTCAACTGCAATTTTTTGATAAAAATGTGGGGTGAATTTCAAAATTTAAAAACACAATATAATATCCAATTGTTTAATAAAATTTAAAAGATGTTGTTACATTGAGTAAATTAACAAACATGTCATGCTTTATGTCAGCCTGTGCAATGGCACCAAACAGCGTAAATTTTACTATCCACATGCTTTAAAAGCCTGTACAGCGGCGACCCCTTAATACAGTTCCTCATGTTGTGGTGACCCCCAACCATAAAATTATTTTTTACTTCATAACTGAATAGTGCCACGTCATTGGTGTCAGTGGGAGGAATAGTGCCCCATCATTGGTATCAGTGGGAGGAATAGTTTCATTGGTGTCAGTGGGAGGAATAGTTCATTGGTGTCAGTGGGAGGAATAGTGCCCCGTCAAAAAGTGCCCCGTCATTGGTGTCAGTGGGGGGATAATATCATTGGTATCAGTGGGAGGAATAGTGCCTCGTCATTGGTATCAGTGGGAGGAAAATCATCGGTATCAAAAGCCCCATCACAGGTGTCAGTGGGAGGAGGAATAGTGCCCCATCATAGGTGTCAGTGGGGGGAATAGTGCCCCATCATTGGTGTCAGTGGGGGGAGGAATAGTGCCCCATCATTGGTATCAGTGGGGGGAGGGAATAGTGCCCCATCATTGGTATCAGTGGGGGGAGGAATAGTGCTTGGTTCAGTGGGGGGAGGAATAGTGCCCCATTGGTGGCAGTGGGGGGAGGAATAGTGCCCAGCCTTGGTGCAATAGTGCCCCATCATTGGTGTCAGTGGGGGGGAATAGTGCCCCATCATTGGTTCAAGGAATAGTGCCCCATCATTGGTGTCAGTGGGGGGGAATATTAAGCTTGGTGCTGGGGGGAGGCTGCGCCCCATCCTTGGTGTCAAAGAATAGTGCACAGCCCCATCTTTGGTGTCACTTGGGGGGAGAGGAATTGTACACAGGAGGTCTGTTGCAGGGACAGGAATTGTGCCCCATAGTGGGGGGAGGAATAGTGCCCCATCTTGGATCTGACATTCAGTGGGGGAGGAATAGTTACCCCACGTTATGTGGTCATGATCGCCGTTTGCTTGTACCCCATTTGTCTTTGCAAGCAGGGGAGGATGGAGATGCTTAAAATCTTTGGTGTATTTTTTTTAAAAATGATTTATTTATTTTATTTTTACATTGTTGCTTTAATTTTTTAATATAAATATCCTCATGTGATAGTGCCCCAATAGTGCTCCATCCTTGGTGTTCAGTGGGGGAGGAATTGTGCCCCATCGTTGGTGTCAGTGGGGGGAGGAATTGTGCCCCATCGTTGGTGTCAGTGGGGGGAGGAATTGTACCCCATCGTTGGTGTCAGTGGGGGGAGGAATTGTGTGTGTCAGTGGGGGAGGAATAGTGCCCCATCGTTGGTGTCATTTGGGGGAGGAATCGTGCCTCATTGTTGGTGTCAGTGGGGGGAGGAATAGTGCCCCATCGTTGGTGTCAGTGGGAGGAATAGTGTCCCATCATTGGTGTCCGTGGGAGGAATAGTGCCCCATCATTGGTTTCAGTGGGAGGAATAGTGCCCCAATTGGTATTAGTGACACCAATGATGGGCACTATTCCCACTGACACCAATGATACTTACCTTGCTGACCCCTGCTCCAGCCTGGGCTCGCTCGCTCCCTCCCTCTCCCATGGTACAGCAGTGATCTTGGGTACTTCTGATTGGCCGCCTGTGTGCCTGAGCTTGCCGGCGGCCAATGGAGAGGTCCAGATGACAGGGGGGCATGTCTACCTTAGACGGCCCAAGGGGTTTATTTACTAAAGCTGGAGAGTCCGACCCCCAAAATCGACTCCCTGAACCGCTGCATAGAAACTGTTGCAATCAGCTTCTAACCTCAGCATATGTGGAATTGTTGCTTGCATTTGAAGCAGGGGAGGATTGGCAATGATTTAAATTTTTACTGGAAGTTGATTGGTTTCTATGCAGAAGGGACTCTTTATGGAGATTTTGCACTCTCCAGGGGTTTATTTACTAAAGCTTTAGTCCAAAATCAGATAAACCCCCAAATGTCTCAGTGAAGCTCAATGAAACCCCTTGCAGAAAGCGCATCTGATCTTAACATCTGATCACAAGATTGGTGTAATAAGATGCTTTCCCTATTTAAAATTGGTGCTGTGTACATCTGGGGAAACTGGAAGTGATAAATGCTCATCACTTCCAGTTTCCTATACCACAGAATTAGTTAGAGCCATAGCAGTCTCTGATTACCTCTATTGTCAACCAACAGAAGCTCCAGCTGATCGCTAGGGTCTCCCAGTGAGACAGGAAAGCCCAAGAGAGCTGGGAAGGTGGTGGGAGGGGTGGGGGCATCACTTCATACTGCTTGTAAAAACAATCCAACGTCTTTTACCAGACGACCACCGTTGGCTCTAAAAAAACAACAACAGGATGATGCGTGCAGCTGCAGGCATCATCCAGGTATAGCCACTTGAATTCCAGTGATGTACAGGTATGTCGCAGGTCGTCAAGTGAAAACTGATGTTGTTGCATACACCATATTACAGGATTAATTTCTAGAGGCAAGCTGGTCATTGTAATTTGTATTTATGTATTATAACCACTTGCACTCCAGAGGATGTACCCCCCTTCCTGATCAGGCCATTTTTTTTTGCGATACTGCACTGCGTTACTTTAACTCACCATTGCGCAGTCATGCAATGCTGCACCCAAATTAAATTTACATACTTATTCCCACAAATAGAGCTTTCTTTTGGGGGTATTTGATTGCCTGTCATTTTTTTTTTTTTGCGCTATAAACAAAAAAAGAACAACAATTTAAAAAAAATAAACCCTATATTTTTTACTTTTTGCTATTAAACATATCCAGTAAAAAAAATTTAAAAATCAAATTTTGTCATAAATTTAGGCCAAAATGTATTCTGCTAGATGTCTTTGCTAAAAAAAAAAAATCCAATACATGTATAATAATGGGTTTACATGAAAGTTATAGCCTTTACAAATAGCGGTATATATATACTGGAAATAGTTTTTTTACTAGTAATGGCAGTGATCAGCGACTTATATTGGGACTGTGGCAGGCATTCTGACACGGGGGGAACTGGCTCGTTGTTACTGACATCCCCAATGACACCAATACAGTGATTGGTGCTAATAAAAAAGCACTAACACTGTACAAATGGCACTGGGCCAGAAGGGGTTAACAAATGGGGCGATCAAAGGGTTAACTGAGTGCTTTTTTTTTTACTATGGGGGCTGTGTGTGTGTTTATTTATTTTTTAATTTAGGTACTTATATAGTGCTGTCAATTTTACACAGTTCTTTACATATATATATATATATATATATATATATTGTACATTCCCATCAGTCCCTAAAGCTCAAGGGGCATACAATCTAAGGTCCCTAACTCACATTCATACATACACCTACTAGGGCAAATTTAGAAAGGAGCCAATTAACCTACCAGCGTGTCTTTGGAGTGTAGGAGGAAACTGGAGTAGCTAGAGGAAAACCACACAGGCACAGAGAGAACATACAAACTCTATTGGATTGGATTTGAACCAATGACCCTAGTACTGCTACGCAGAAGTGCTAACTATTTAGCCACTGTGCTGCCACTGTAAGCACACTGCTTTGTATGACTCTGCTATGCAGAGCCATACAAAGCAGTGTGCAGGAGCTGACAGAGTAGAGATCTGCATAGTTTACATACAGGTCTATCCACCGTTGGAAATCCTCAGAGATTGCTGGGTGCCGGCGGGGAAACACCGGCTGAGACCCGGTGATTGACAGCAAATGGAGGCATGGGCAGGGCACCCCCTACCTGGAACTGCAAAATCACGCATATATAAGTGATTTTGTGCACCAGTGCTGCCCTGTAGCAGTATTTCTGCTATAGGGTGGCGCAGAAGCGGTTAAAGAAAACATGTACTGAGAGGGATATGTAGGCTGTCATTGCTGTACTATTTTTGAAAAGTCTGACTTTTTCTGGCTTCAATACATTTATCCTTTCACTCCTGAGCAATTTTTTAAATATTATTTGTGAACATGTTAAAATGCACATTTCAGGCCTGTAGATTACGTAAAACTCTCCAAAACATGATATTTTCTGAAAGAAGAGACCCTGTAGAATAAAATTGTGGTAGATGCAATATGGTTTATGTCACATTTTATTATTACAACTGTTTATCACAATCATATTTTCAAAAAACTAAAATTAAGTTTAGTGCACACAAACACAATTTAACACCCAACAATGTTTAATAAATAGATACCAAACATGTCAAGCCTTAAAATTGCATGTGCCTGTGAAATGGCAAAAACAGTTAAAGAATATGTAAACCCATCATTTCATATTGCTGATATGTGCCTGCTGTACCATGTGCTTTATGAAAAAATATCCTGTTCTCTTTGTATTGCTTCCTTTGTGTGAAATCCCTGCTTTCCTATTAAAAACTGACCACACTAAGCAGGAGAGCACACCATGGTCAGTTCTCTAGCTATGCTGGGAACTCAGCCTGCTCTCCTCCAAAGATCAGACTTGCCCCACCCCGCACAACCATTCACTGGGAAGATCAGTGAACTGCTGTTTCTCCTCCACCAGCTCTTATGCAGCTGAGAACAGAGGGGATGTGATCACTAATGAAAAGGGGGGAAAAGGTATTCATAATGTTTTTTTTTGTTATTTCTAAACACAAATGTTTGGCCTTTTATTTCCATTTAAAACCGAATGGGTTGTTTTACAAGGTGAGGGTTTACAATCACTTTAATTATCTGCCTATACTTACTGCTCTCTCTCTCAGTGTTCTTGAGTTGTTAAATTATTTTATTAAACTTTGGCTTATTAATTTTTTTTTAATTTTTTTTTGCCAAACATTATTGCTATCAGCTCCCTATGTGACAGTATAATGCAGAGATGGATTCTCTGTAGGGAGACAGTCAAGCTGATCAAGCCTACACTATTAGGAAAATATTTTTATTTATGTCTGCGTCAGACACATGAAATGCGTCGGATAGAGCTTGGCCATACTGAGAGGTATTATCGTGAGATTAAGAATGGGGAGCAATTGAAGGTGATACTTCCATCCAGTACCATGATATAACATCTTCCAATTCTGAAGGATTCGGTGCATATATGCTTATGCATTCATGACTCTTTGTTCACATGTTCTGGTAAGAGTCCTACCATTTTCTGGTGGTGGTGGCTCACAACACTGGGACTATTAATTTCTACATTTGGACTCATTTAGGTTATTACTTATATGTTTGTGACAAATTCTGGGTTGTGACATTTGAGTGCAGCAATTTATTTATAATGATAATGACACCAGCAGGTGCAGACACCGAGTCCTTAAATATAAGGTATGTCATGGGCCCCATTATTATCTATTCCAGGTACTTATATAGTGCCGTCAATTTATGCAACTCTTTACATATATATTGTACATCCACGTCAGTCCCTAACCCTCAAGGAGCATACAATCTAAGGTCCCTAACTTACATTCATACATACACATACTAGGGCCAATTTAGACAGGATCCAATTAACCTACCAGCATGTCTTTGGAATATGGGAGGAAAATGGAGTATCCAGAGGAAACCCACGCAGGCACAGGGAGAACATGCAAACTCCAGGCAGATGGTGCCGTGGTTGAGATTCGAACTGACGACCCATTCACTTACATGATCGTGAATCTCTGACCATGTAAGCATAGGGGTAGGATCCCAGTGACGTTATTAACTATATATG